CTCAAATAAACACTTTAATTTTTCAATTTCGTGATTGGAAAACACTTCTTTCAATTTTTTTGAAAAGTTGAATTGATTGGAAAACATTCTCTGTGCGTCACAGTTAGTAGAAAGATGTATTGAATGGAAACAAATCTGAGATGAAACGAAAATTATTTTATTTATCTGAGCAAATAAGAAAATCATAGAAATTAGTCCAGTTGTCACTATCACGAATCAGATAATTCATAGAAGATCGTAAAGAGCCTTGTAGAACATTTTGATGATACTCGGAAAGCCATGAGACAAAACCCCAAAGGATGGCAGCGAACCACGGGAAAATGCGATATGCTGAAAAATCACCACAGAAATGAAAAGCTGAATTTGAAATTGAACAAAATCGCTTCCCACTTCGAATTCTTTCTCAATCTCTTCAACAGAGACCGTAATGAGCACCAACAGTGACTACACCGTTCTCATAATTCAATCGTTACCTCATCGATTAATCAATAGCCAGTATGACTTAAGAATTCTTGCTCAAAAAAATAGTTCCATGTTTCAGCTCTGATGTTCATTTTCGAAGACCAATTCATGACACTGTTTAAAAATTGTGAATCAAGTTGAGAGGAAATGATACTCTCATAAAATTGAACTTACATGGTTCCGGAATGAGCTTCTTTTCGACACTCAGCCTTGCCAAACCAATCATTATGCGCGATAACAGGTACAAGTTCACCTAATAATGCATCAATAATTACAGTTCATCATGCGGTAAGATGGCACCTGCGCACTTGGCTTCATGAAACCGAAATTGCATACTTTGCTTTATATGATATGTCGCTTTGGAGTAGTTCTTATCATTTGAAGATGAATTTTCCTGATGACTTTCCTGGCTGCGAACGATTCTTAGATTACAAAACAGTGCTCAGTGGGCCGTACTGGTGGGACTGCATCAAAATCATTTAGTGGACGTAATTGGGAGAACAGCGATCACCTGCATATTAACACCATTACTGTCACCAAACACAAAGTAACCAACGATAGAGGCGGCCGCAAATGAGTGCCATTCACTTCGACTACCTGAAACTGAATTATTGTTATCATGTCAACAAACAGCATGGCACTCATCTCATTTTCAACCGCCTCAATTGAGCATCCGACCAAATATCACGGAACTATTGGTAGCATAAAACAATTTGATAGTTTTGATTCAAATCTTCCTTATCCATCACACTTGAACAAGGATTATCTTCACAGATGGGATCAACGAATGAAACTGTGAGAAGAGGTGACCGAACCTTGTAATCGTTGAATTAAACCAGTTATA